ATTGCGGCCCGACTTCTCCATGGTCACAGCCGGAGGAGAAGAAGTTGCGGTGCAGTGGCTGTTAACCAAAAGCCGGTCAGGGGCAGTATGATGGGTCGATGTTGTTGGACGACAGGACGTTTATGCATCAGGGCTCCACCCACTGTACCCATAGTAGAGGGCGGAGCCTGTGTAAAATATAACGGGCGGTTACGTATTGTAACCCTAGTTATATAAGCACAGGCGGAGCCCCATACTTGGGGCCCTGTCTGTCCTATGCCGCTCGCTGAAGAGGGTGTAGGATGACATTCAGGAGGCGTGGCCGCCTTATATACGGTGGGCTTGCGCACACATTCAGGTAGGCCCGCCCCGAGGGGCCGGCTACCTTTATAGATATCTCAGTAGATTAATGCTCGCATAGTATGGTTAAGAGTTAGTACCCATACAGTAGAGGGCTCCGCCTGTGCTTATATAACTAGGGTTACAATACGTAACCCCCCGTTTCACTAGAACACAGATCCAACCTGGGATTTGAGTGTATTTATGAAGTAGAGAAAAATATATTGCTACAATGTTTAACCCCCAGCTGCTTGTTGGTGGGTGGTAATTTACCTTGGGATTTATTTATGGTCTGTTTTTTGTGAGAATTCTGTTCTGTAAAGACAACAGCTGTAACTGATGACCACTTATCTAACCCCTGTTATCTACTGCTTTACTTACCACATTTACAATCAACACTGACTGGACATCCATATAAAATGTACAATGCAAATGTCTCTTAGTATAAGAGAAAAACGTATTATAGCACATGCGGGCAGTCTTGCATCAGTAGTGGTTGGTATTTGCACATCAAAGGTTGTATTAGGGTAATGGAAAAACCCTAATTTCAGGACTCATTTCTGTTAAACATGCTGTTTTCAAATCATCTAGGTAAGTAATATTCTCTGCTCATTATAGGAAAAAAGCAAACATGCAAGCAACACACACTTAGACACACATTTTCTATCCATTAAGCCAAAACAAATGCCCTGGGAGAGCTTGTTAGGGCCGTTGAGTGCCTTAATGTGCCGGGGGATGAGGTGAGTGATGGAATAAAATAAAGGAGGGGTTGGCGTTCTGCCTTTCATCTTCCTGTGTGTTTAGCGACAGACGGGTAATTAGTTTGTACTCTGATAAAAAAAGGGACCTGTCTAAATGCCCGAGAGTCCCTCATTCTATTACCTCTCATGAACCTGTGGATTATTCAATCACTACCTTATTCCTTTTTCCTTTTTTTTGCAGGAGTCACTTTTGATTACTCCGTAGATTACAGTGATGGCTTTTTTGATTAAATGAATATTCATAACGTGAGCCTCCTTTGCGAGGTGTCAACACTTTTAGGTATTATCAAGAGACTGCTGCATAGATTTCTACCTTACGCTTGAATTTACGAATGCTAATGAAGAAAATGATAATGTTAAATAGATATATAGATTGCAAGTGATTGTCTTAATGCTCCTCTTCTTGTTTAGTAAAACTGTTCGTGCAGACATAATATTTGATACTGTATCAGACTTTTGCTTATTGTAACCTAGTTGGCCTGTTTAAGGGAAAGATCATGGTTTGAGGTAAAATAACTCATCATGTTTACAGGAAAAAATATTACCGCCATGACTGTCAGCAAGAAATGAGTCTCTTGGGTTTAGGTCTGATGTGTTGGCGACCAATATATAATCCAGCCATACCTGCTCCTGCTGTTGGCTTTATGGCTGTATTAAAAAGCTTTATGTTACTTCACGTTCATCCTGATGTAAAATAATCATATTTCCTGCAGCAGCTGGAGGTATTTGTGTCGCTGTCATCTCCCAATTCCTTAAGGAAGCGAAAGAGCATCAATGTTTTTAATTTCAGTGAACCATTTTATTATAACCCCGAGTCTGGAAAATGTTATCAAATGAATCTCAACCCTGGATGAAACTTCACCCCGGCTCATGTTAGCTGTATGCCAACACACTTACCCTCTTTTCCTTCAACTGAGAAAGGAAAGAGTAATATTACTGCAGAGTGAATTCATGAATTCATTCATAAAACTATATTTACAGTCATAAACATTCATGATTGGTGTTGTCCGGTGAAGTTGGTTCTTGACACAACACATCACTTCTTTACTTCATGGCAAACTTAAGTCCTATAAGATATACTGTACATCTAGCATGAAACTAAAGTTTCTCTTTTTTAAAGGACACATTTTTTGGGGTAAACTATTGGGCTGTTTGATCTTGGCTTTGGTACTTCCTATTGTACTTGATTGTGCATGAATAGATTGTGAATAGGTGCTCTTGTGTTATTACAAAGGAAGCAATCAATGCTCTTAAAAACGATATGCCCTGGGCGTGTTCGCGGTCAATGCAAAGGTGGCACCTGAGAGCATGATGCTACTACCCTCCCTATTTGATGAAAGATAAACAGTGTAACAGATAAGAGCGTCTGATGAGTAGCTGATCCAATAAAATTATCCATTCTACTGGGGAAAAATCGTTTTATGCTTTGAAACTTGAATAACTTGTGTTTTTAAATCTCAGGTTAGGCCGGTAAAATAAATGTTCAAACTGGTTTGATATAAAGCAAAAACAGCGAATCGGTGTACGGAATTTGACCGCAAGGTATTTTATTTGATTCAACAGCTGCTAATTACTTTTCGTCACAAGTTTAGACGTTGTGTTGTGAATTGACTAGCGACACTTTAAATCCATCCAGTTTTATTATAATCCTCATATCACTCATTATTTACTTACAATGCAAGTTGGCTTGTCACTGTGACACCATCAGCACAGGTTGCTGATGTACACTTAAATACTTTTTAATTTGTTGAAACCTTTCATAATGATTGATGCCGGTTAAGCTGGTTAGCAAACTTTTAAACCGGTCACAGAGAAGCGACCAAACTAACTTTTTATGCATTTACTGATCCAAGAAGTACAGCCCTACTGACGTTTTTACTTTATAAAACCTCAACTCAGATATCATCAGTCTGCTGAGACCCTGTTCAGTCTCATTCTAAAAGGGAAGAAGAAGCTGTTATCTGACATGAGGTTTGTCATTCTTTAAGCTTCTGACAGCTCAGCTACAATCAGTGTCCCACTTTGGTCAAACTGCGAGACTGGCACTTTTGTTCTGGACATCTCGGGGTTGAAGATGTGTGTTTTTACAATATATAGCCCCCCTCCCATATGTGAAAGTACAGTTACATTACATTACATTACATGTAATTTGTTAGACGCTTTTATCCAAAGCGACTTACATACATTCAGTACTGTGGACAATCCCCACAGGAGCAATTTGGGGTGAAGTGTCTTGCCCAGGGACACAACGACATGCTGACTGCAGTGGGACTCGAACAGTTATTATTACTTGTCAATATGAGCCAGGAATAGACGCTGATTCTGCTGTGTCATTTTTTTTTCAACAGTACATATTTGATCTCATCATTCTCTCACAGAGCCATGTGGGTTTCTTTTTCACTTGCCTTCAGCTGCCTGGCATAAAAAAGGAAAATCATTTAAAACTTTGATCTTTTTTTAGAGATGTCAGAAAACCAGTAGATAATGTCATCTCTCAACTCACTGCCGGGACTTGGGAGACGCAGCGAGACCAACAAAGATGTCTGTGAGGAATGCTATAAGGCTGGATTTGTTTTCACAGTTGCTTTAAAAACTGATCATAATACACCTTAAAATATAAAATATAAAGAGATTAGACATGTTTTTTTTCCTGCTCGTCGGATCGAGGGCAGAATCCATTCATTTTATGGCTGAAAGCTGTGAACTGTTTCAGGTAATTGAATCAAATTTCTTCTGTGACAGACTAAATTGCCTATGGTGTATGTGTGTAGGCGCCAAGGATTTATACACTGTTCATTGGCTCTACTCAGTGCTATGGATTTTCTTCTGGTCCTTGCCTCTGGAATGTTTATGGACCTTTTTACATTAATGTAAAGTTAGCAGTCAGAACTAACAAGCCCTGGGCAGCTTCTGTCAGACTCTGGGTTTCTCTGTGAATCTGCTGGAGGTTTTGAAAGTCACTAGAATCATATTTCTGGCTTCACTGTGTAGTTACTTTGTGTGCAGTGGCATTTTTATGTGTACAAAAGTGGTGGGGCACGAACAACTTAAATGTGTATATAAGCTTCTGGTGCTTTTTTAAACATGTAAACAAATAGTTGTAGGCTATCCATGGTTCCGATAGAGAGAGAGAGGTCACAATATCAATCGATCCAGCACAGCAGAGCAATAGCCTATAGGCAAAACACAGAAGATCAACAAAAGATATGACATCAAATGAACTTACCAAAGCTGAAGTATATGGTCAACTTCATTCATTTTCTTTCCACTTTTCTGATTTGAATCGCTATAAGCTGCTCTCTCGTCTCCTCTTCACATCTAAACTTTTCGCGGCACACATACTTACAGCCAATCAGCTCTCTGAATTATGAGATGACGTTTGGTGGGTATGGCAGCGCAGTGCCCCACTGTGATTATTTTGTTGCCGCACACATTGAATAGAAAAATACTCTGAGCATGCGCAGTGTAGTTTTTACAGTACACATTCATTTTAACAGCAGAGATGGGCTTGCCCCACATCGCTCAACACGGCTCAATAGGCACACTGTGGACACTAATTAGAAGAAAGCAGACTAAAACAGTAATGTACAGACAAATCAGATGACTAAACATGATCTTAAAATATATTTTGTATTTTTTTTGCATATTTTGGGAATTATTATTTGTATTATTTCCTGCTGACACTAGGTGGGGCTGTGCACGTGTGTTTAAAACAAATATACAATACCAATTTGTACTTTTGCCCTGAGATCCGGGTGGCGATCTCAGTTCGGGTACCGTATCTGTGAAGTGACAAAGTGTCGGCGTGACAACGTGGTGATGAGGTGTGGATAACTTTTCAGATAAAGACCATCCTGATACTCAAGTTGTGGGTTTCGATAAGTGAAAAAGAAAATTCAAAGTAATCACTACCATTTTAATTTCTCAAGCATTTTAATATGTCCCCAAAAGCCTTCAAATGTAGTAGCAAACCCACAGTGATCCACATCAGGATCATCTTAAAGGCCTGTAATTGAATTATATGCAAGCCTACCTCCAAAGCGTTATACTTCGAAAGTTATACAAATTAGATAAGGCAGTGGATGGCAAAGTAACAGATTTCACACATGAATATGCTTAATGTAATGCTTTATGGTGTTCCTATCACTGAAATCATGTAATATTTCAACTGTATTTTCCTGAAAAGTCAAATGCATTTTGTTGGTGGTTTTCATCTTATTTCTAATAGAAAAATATTAAATATGACTCAAATGGAGCATATAAACAAGAGAATAAACGTACAAAAACAAAAGTGGAGTTCAAATAATAGATTTAATTTGTTTGCATTATTCCAGAGAATTCTTCAACTGCCAGGAATGAGCCCACTCCTTGCCACTGAAAACAGAATGGAATAATGTTGGTTACAGGTCCTTGTTTTGTCTTTCCAAAAAGCAGAAACCATGTGTGAAGCACACATCATCTTATAACTCAATTTATATAAATAAATGTTTCATTTTCCATTTATTAACGACCACCACCATTTAGAAAAAGTGAAAGTAGAAATTAAAACACATTTTCAAACAAACAATAAAAACAAACAAAAATACATACATTAACAACAATGAAGTTAAACAATCATTTGTTCCTACACTACTTCAGCTGCTTCAGAATAACAGCAGTGAAATATATAAGAGGACTGGTGGTAGATTTGGATGTTTTGCATTTGTTAAATATCATGTGTTTGTTCTCCAACATGGGACTACATCAGATGACATGAAGCCAAGTAACTGGAAGATATATACCATACAGGACAGGGCTCCCACTCCACCAACATTTCTGCTTTTCCCTATCAAGAGAAGAAAACAAATCTCTAATTTCGGAAAGACCAAACGCATATTAGCTATTTAGCAAACAATTGTGTTGGAAGTTTGTAAATCATAAAGCACACCCTATGCATTACTTTTATTCCCGTCTAACCTTTCTCATTCTTTCTTTTATTACACTCCTGATGGGGAAAGTTTCTAGGCGAGTGTGGTAGGAGCAATCTGTGAACATCAAAGCAGGTTCCACATACAGTATTAGTCATATTAGAAATAAAAATAAATACAACTATGAACACTTAAGTAGCAACCAGACTTGCACGATGAAAAGTGACCACACTGTTATTACTGGTCAAAAGTTACTGTATACATCATTGAAATGGAACCAAGCTGCTCTCAGTCCTAACATGGGATGCTTGTTTGAATGGCCATACCACTGCTGAGCCTGAGATGACCAAAGACAATACTGCACTGCTGCTTCCTTTACTGCCTAGCATTCTCATCACCACCTTATCAACTATGACTGTATGTATTTTAGTCGAATTAGACAATTAAAGCCCTTTGGATTTTTGTTATAGTTATAGTTATTAGTCACAATATAGCATTGTTAACTCACTAAAGAAGTATCAATCACTTTGCTAAAGTACATGTCGATAGATTTATTAGAATACCAATCAATTCGACTCATGCAAATGTTTATAATCAGTCAAAATACTTAATACTGTTAATATACCTGACTTTTTCTTTTTGCGTCTAGGACCAAGTACTGTGTCCCTCACGGACCCTGTCCTGACAGCTGTGGGTTGAAGAAGAAATATTACTATATACATACAGTACACCAAGTTAAGCTTAAACTCAAGTTTCAAAATACATCCCACAAATGCAGCATCACATGATGCAATAGGTGTTAGGTACAGATATTTTTTTGTTATTGGGATTTAATTGAGGTTGATCTATGAAGTCTAGGTGTTTTGTTGTCTTGCCTATATAATTGACTCCATACTTTATGTGTAAGGAATAGTTTGATAAATATTAACATGTTGTGCTGTAACGTTAAATGAATTTAACTTTGATTAAAAAACCTAAGTTTATTCCCCGTATGTTCATTATGGGACAGTGTCGTATCTAAATGCAGTTCTTGAGTATAAAGTTTAAATATGCTGCATGACGTTGTTGCATGAGTTGCTTCAAAGTTTACCCCTATGGTCAGGGATTGCTTTAGGTAGACCACAATATTAATGATATCAACCTCTCGTACAATATATGGACATGAGCCAAATCATTTTGATGTAATCAACCTACTGCCCAACGCTACAATGTAAGACCCTTTCTGTGTGTAAACCAAATCACATAGGAGTTTTATTTTGTGATTTATCAAATGTAAAATAAGCCTGCTGTTGCTTTGCATTTTTGTGTGAAAAAGGTATAACCATATAGTAACCACATGTCTGTTCAGGAATGAAAGAGACAGACAGACCAGAAACAAACACTTGAGGGCACCAATTAGTACGGTCCACCCAGAATGTTTTTTTCTGTACGAGGGAAAGACAGTCTTCCTAAAATAAAACACTGGTCTTCTAGACCCACCGTAACGGGGAATTCCCCGTCCGGTTTTTCGGCGGCGAACTCTTACCTGTCGAGTTTCTCCAAACTACTCTTCGCTTCCTCCCCCCGAACCCACAGTCCCCGGCCCTCTCTTCTGGTGTTGTAACCGAAGGTAGTTCCCTAACTTCGTGGCAACAGAAGCCGCATACATGGTGAAAGAATGACAACATTTCCGGGCCGTGTGGTTCGACTGTGGCTTCTTGACGTGCTGCCGGGACCTGACAAACCGGTATATAACCCGTCCTAGTTAAACTTAAAAACCAAAATATAAAAAACATTATGTAAATAAGAATTACTACATAAACATAGAAGTAATTGGTTATAATGTGAACTTAGTTGAAGTTTAATATCGTATAATAACGTTTCCAAATAAATTATAAGAGAAAAGAAAGTAAAAATTTTGATGAAATTAGAATTGAAAGTGTCGGTTCCTGTGATAAATTAAATTGGTGTGTAATTTATTTGCCTCCTGAAGGAAGTAGGTACCAACACAAGGTTGAGAACGAATACATGATGTGACAGATGTGGAAAATTGGTACATGCAGTCGAAACGGTTTGGTCGAGCTATAGGATATTAGAACGTATAGTGTCGAGAGACTATAGACGGTAGATAGGAATATGTGGGAGAGAAGGTAGTGCGACGCATGCGCGTGTACGGTTACTCCCGTTTCTCTATTCAAACACGTTCAGACCAGTCCGTCCATCCAGTAGGGTCAATGAGAACGGCCCACCAGATGTTTTTACTGAATAGGGACGACAGTCTTGTACATAATGCCGAAGGTGTCTTCTGTAAAAGACACCTGTAAAACAGTTCGTCGTGAGTCTATTCGTTACGAAGCACTACATTCCTTCGTGAGGTCTCCATACTATTGTTCGCTTCACAAAGAGCTCGCCTTCTTAGGAGTTTTAACGAATGGGTGGATCTTACTTCGGAAGCAGAACATACATGTGAAAAATGAGATACAATGAGAGTGCTGTTGGTTCGAGCTGTGGTTGCCTTGACTGTGTCAGCATGGTGCCTAAACGATTAAAGTATGCCTCAGGTCGATCGTCAACTTACACACATGAAAAATTGTACGGTTAAATCAGAATCATTCACAGTCGACATAAATTAACAGCTTACCATGTGTAACCTATAGCACCCTGAAGTTATTACTAGCCACTTACTAGTCCTAGTTTTCTGAATAAACATAAAACAGGGACAGATATTTTTTACAAAGACTAAGATGACACATTGGGAAGGATCTTTTTGTATAAGTACGTTCTATAGATGTCATTAAATATTAGCCGTACTTGTATCTAACGAAGTGTATTAATAATCACCTATAACTAGGAAACTATGTGGTTTCGTAGTGTCGGAATATCCAAACCGTCTCATATAAACACTCTGTGATTGTGTGTAGGAAAGATGGAACAATGACAGTGGATAAAAATCGACGTGTCAATGTTTTCAACTTTCATTAAACGGTTTTAACATCCAATACTGTTGCAACTGACAATAATAAAATGTTTGTATGTAAGTTATTTATGTAAAATTTGTGACTCATAAATCGGATTTACTCTGTACCGAATGAGACGTCTCCCCTGACACCCTGTAAATTGACAATAAATAGTCCTTTATCAATCGTTCAAATGGCATTAAACCTTTTGGTAAAAACCCATAACACGATGGTGAAACGCGTAAGGTAACATATGTTTAACTTTCAACATTTCACAATTACAGTTCCATCAATCCAAACTACTGACTTTACATACAAATCCGAACTCGGTAGGGAATTCGTTAAAGGAAAATCGTTTGGCAAGGATTTGCCAAAGGAAATAGTTGCGGGTTTTTCCCTCTTTATAAAACTCCATTTACCATTCTCGTGTTATGTACTTCTGCTAGGGTCAACTGGTATAAGTCAAACCGTCAAGACATAATTCCAGTACAAAGAGCCCAACATTTGTTTTTCGTCAATAGGTCACGTAGGTCTCCAGGAAATGTAATGGTAATACAAAAATAGGTTTCGCTTGAACGATGAATAAACTAACGTGAATACGTTTTGTGCAAACGCAGTCAGAGTATTTAAGACTTGTTTTACACACCTACATTTATTACATTCCCTTGTATGTACGTGTGCAGATTATACAACAGATGGCTGTTTAACTGTACAGTGTAGTGTACCTTACATCTGTGTTTAGCCTTCTTTATTATAGCGTTTTTGTTTGGTATTTACCAACTGACCTATTTATGGTGATAAAGAGACGATAATTGAAACTGACGTGTGTCAGGATACTGTACTGCTCATATAAAAAACTGGGACAGGACCTTTGTATGGAATTCGTGCGACATAAAAGAATAAAGAGATCTATATACTCAATTGGAGAAACAGAATTCGTTCAGTTCTGGTTGTAAACAAATTGAACGTGTCCAACCTGTGTCCTGAGGTGACCGGTCCCCCAACGCCTTCTAGGACTCCTTCTCTGTCAGTGCGACTTGGAGTGTGGGACACTGGGTAAGACTTGGTCTTTTGTTGACCGTCCCTCGTCCCTGGTGTCTCTCGGTCCACGGTCTCTGTTCGTGGCACGTCCACCTCCACGACTTCTGGGGGGGGGGCACTTCGTCACGTGGTAGTATCTCCACCCCGTCCTCCTCGTCGGGTCGCCCTACTACACTCTGTCCGATGGTGGTGCCTCCCCGGTCCATTATTTTATCTATTCTATCTTAGCCTCCCTACTTTGGGAGAAATTACCAGTGTGTACGTCACTGTAAACAAGAGACTCTAAACGTCGAAAATATAAATATTTTCAGTTCTCACAAAAGGCTATAAAAGATTTTTAATAAACATCCATTGAACAACTGTTCAGTACGAAGATGTTATAGAGTTTTGTGGATTAACGTGAAGAACGTAAAAACCCTTATTACTAACAAGGTTATCCATTTATTATTATTGTTGTTATCGAATTAGATTTATTGTTAAAGTGGATGTTGAAGTATTTATACTTTCCTTTTACCCTATGAACCCATACACATATAGGAATCCATGAGCCTATATTTATTTATAATTTGCAAATCT